GTACTAGATTAATCCTGCTGATTGGCCAATATACAAAATATAACGTGTCTCTATCATAGATTCTATCATAGATTCTACGTGTAAAACACTGTAGACAGATGTCTACAGTGTTTTACACGTGTGTGATGACACTGTTTGTGTGTGTAAGTGCATGTGTCTGTGTGTCAGCGGGAGAGAGAGAAAAGTGAGCAGCGGAGTCACTGTGTGTGCGTGTGTGTGTGTGTGTGTGTGTGTGGGTGTGTGTGTGTGTGCTGTTTCCCTTTCCCTCTAATTCTGGGACTATCATACAGAAGCTACGCAATTTGGTTACAGTAATCAAGTATTTATGGTGATTAATTTACTACAATGTAGATGTTCTAACAGCATCTTTCATGCAATACTGTGTGGTGCAAATAGATTAGTCCATAGAAGTGATGTCCCCGATAAAAGCGATACAACATTCACAGTCTACGGATTTTCTTTCCAACAAATCCCCTATTTTACCCAGGACTTCTAGTCATCCAGCAGCAGTAGTGTTTCTGACCTGCGATGTCCCATGACAATCATCCTCAACTTGTCTCCCAGGTCCTGCATCTCATGAATCTGAACAAAAGTCCCTGTAGAGTAGACGGCATCAAGAGACTCCACCACATCTGACTCATTACTGCAAAAGACAGAGACACTCGTTACTACACACACACACACACGTATCACAGTTTCTGACAGAATTACATATTGTGTGGACACAATTATGAAATGTAATTACTTAAATAACTAAAATATTTATATCATTTGATTTCTTGACATAACAACTATGCAACAGTGAGGTTCTGATTATGAAATACCCTCAATACGCTCCATTATGAATGTGTCATCAGAGTCATCTTACTTACTTATCATCTCTCTTCAGGAAGACTCCAGCATATGGCTGAGCCAGGCGAACCTTCCTCCTCAACAACTCCATCAATGCTTTGTTCTTGACCTGACAGGAAAAGAGACAGAAACACATCACACACAGACTCACACTCAACAACACTTTTTCACTGCCTGAAATGCCAGCTTTACCCCTGCATATCATTTTATTATGGATTGGTTATAGGAGGGTAACTTTCAGGGCATGCCAGTGATGCTCTGTAAAAAAGACCACACACAAGAATTTCTAATGTGGAGTAAGTTTCTACAGAAGTTAATAGAATTAAGACTTTTCAGAGCTGGTATTTATATCTGTTTCAGGTAATCTTTGTTTGTCAGATCACACCTTCTATGAGGACGTGTCTCCAGTAACCAAGAAGCAAGAAGGGGCTGAGCAAATCGATCCATTTGAAATCATATTTTACAGTGAAAAACTGAGAAAATCCATATTGGCGAGCATTACAAGTGGGACAGTGGCCACAAATATCACATCATTGTATGTAAAACACAGAAGTGAACTCATAATACTACTAATGTCAGAGGACAGCAGCTGAGTAGGTGGTCCTCCAATGTGATCCAGGACACATTCACATTCACACAGCCAGAAGAATATAGCCACATGAGTCTCAAATCAACCCTGGATGTGATCAGAGGTCAAACGCGTCCTCAACTGATGTTTCTTTCAGTCCAGATAAACAAAATAGAAACCAACAGTTGTCAAAGGACTAATACAGCATTGTTTTCTTGCACACTGAAAGTCAGGTGCACTGACTGGAGCTGCACATGATTTTGTGATAAGCAAAGACATTAGAGTCTGATCTACAACGTTACACAAGAGAAAAACCATTGGCTGCCCTGTAACACACAGCTCAGCCTCCAGGACTGTGACCTCCGAGCGTTGCTGTGGGATTGCATCATCCCGGGTCACTGAAGGAGACCGTCTTCTTCCTCACCTCTATGATCTTGATGAAGCGGGGGAACACCGGGTTCCTGCTTACAGCGATCAGCGGCACATTGGGAAACACCTCCGGGACCATCATGGTGGTGAGAGCCGTCATCTGAGGTCCGCTGTACGGTACTCCCCCGTCTCCCCCCGACTCCTCTCCCCCGGAGCCTGCGCTCTCCCCGCCGTCCTCCCCGGAGAAGCCGGCGCCGCTGGCCCGGTTCCCGAACATCCTATCGTGAACCATGAAGGGTCGAGTTGTCGGTGTGAGAAGATCGGTTCGGCCGCGGAGCACGGCACCGGCTCGCGTCCACCGGTCGGGTCTAAGGGTGAGCCTGCAGCCAGCTGTCATTGCTGTGCTGACGGGAACGTTCGAGCAGCCCCCGGTGCTGGTGTAGAGCCGTGGCGGCTGGAGGCGGCTCAGGGCCGAAGTGTCACTGCTGGGGGTCCGGCTCCATTTGGGCCACTTCACTTTTACTACAGCCGGGTTTCTGTGTAGCTGTCTCGCAGCGCTCAGCATCTTCATGCACGCCGCCATGTTGTTCTGGAGTTTTCTGCTGCACGTGACCTTCTTCCGTCAACGTTTGATGACGTAGTATTGCTTACAAAACTTCTGACGTCAAACCTCTGATGTCATGTCTACAGTAACTCGGATAGTTCAAAATACAACGAAGACCCTGCGACTTCATTTCTTAACTCAGTGAAGGAGATGAAATATATTAGGGAAATTGTAAAATTGTCTGTGACACTCGTCTTGGATTACAGGATGACTCAATTAGTTAATTTAAGAATAATGAATGTCCTGAACAGACAGTGTTACAAAACATTTTCAACCAAACCAGCCCTGTTTCAGTTATTTTCAGAAAAAATAGAAAATAATGATCTTCCTCTTATTTCTCTACTTGATAATGATGATACAATTATTGCCTTGTTGTTTGCAAATAGACTCAAGGTGACACCACTATCAATGAGACTCAGGCTTTGTGAGAAATAAACATATTTCTAATAATGTTAGTCTTGGGCATACTTGATTATGATTATTATTATCTGAACTGGTATCTCAAGATTGTTTTCAGCTCTGTCTAGGCTTCTATAAGGCCTTTGAATCAGTAGAATGCCATTTCATTTTTCGCTCCATATAAAGATTATTATAGTACTTTATGTAATAAATGACTTTTCAAAGGCATCTGGTCTATGCTTGAGATAAACAACATAATGTGTCAAGGTCATACTGACGTGATGGGATGGATGTGAATGTGATAATATGACTGCCAGTAGAGAATTTCATTACATCTGGCACAATTACTGATTAAGTTTCCATGGACAAAGGTCAAAGGTGAAGGTCACTGTGAACTTATATGAATCTGGAAAAAAGTATGTACAAATACTGTATGCACAAGGAAACTGCACTGGTTGGGATAAAACTGCAGTGCAGTAATTGTAGTTTTTAGTAGGAACCCTACTGTATCTGTTATTTACTGTCATGGAACACAAACCATAGGCATCCCAGAAAAACTCTTAAAGCTGACAGCTTATGGATATTTTGTGGCACACAGCCCATCATAGATCCCATGAGCCAGCTGTCTGTGCTTCTTGAAGCTGTAGCCATTGTCTTCGAAACTCATATTTAACACTTAATACCAATTTAAAACAATGGTCAGTCAATCAATCAAGTCACTAAGGTCTAAGTATTTTGGTATGAAAACCTACAATTTTAATGTAACCGTTCTGTATCATCTATACACATCTGACGTAAACAAACCAAGCAGCTTGAAATCGGCTGCAGATTCAATGAGTTATGAACCTTGCACGTACCAAAGCGGCCCAAGTTAGATTCAGGATATATTTTCAGGTAAAAAAGCAAACAAAATGCAGTTTTGTTAAATGTAAATGTTTTTTTCTATTGAGTGGTAAAATAAAGCAGTGTGTGTGAGTGTGACAAATCCTTTGTTCAAATGATGTATTGCAGAGTTGTGACTTACAGGCGGTCAGAAACCACTGAGATCGCATTGCTTTGAGATAGAGCGTGTGTGGGATGGGCAGTGGTCCAAACTAATGGGGCAAATACGGCCATCCTTCTTTCTTTCTTTCAAATGATATAGCTATCTTTTCAATGATAATGAGGGGGACAACTCTCATACATTACCAGGATGGTGTAGTCTTGTCTTCATTAGTTACAGCAGAATGAAATGACATCAGGCCTGATCATACTATGGTGCAGCCTGCATCAATAAGATTTAGAACAATACAAACTCTCAGACTTTCCCTCCTTTGTTGAAGAGTGTTCCCTGTTCCCTGCCGAGTGCATTATGTAAGTAGTTCATTCCAATATTTTGACTTTGTTTGATTAAGTATAAAAAATACATACAAATATGTTTGATTCAGAGCTGTATATTGATTTCTATCTATATGTTGGCTTTACTATAGAAAATTAAACCACAATCAATTGATTTACTCTACAATTCACCATGACAAAATAAAGCTTTGAAGTGGATCTGAGATCTTCTACTGTTCTTTGATGCACATGCTCATCACAGTCTAAACCAGTGAATTCCCATCAACTTAAAGGTCCAGTGTGTAAGATTTAGGTGAAAGGGATCTATTGGCAGATATTTAATGTAGAATAATCCTCATGATGTTTTCACTAGTTTGTTTCATCTAAATTGTATGAATTGTAGTTTTCTTTACCCCAGAAAAGACCCTTAATATTTAAATACTTTATATTTACATCGAGCAGGTCCTCTCTACGGAGGCTGCCATGTTTTTTACATTAGTCCAGACTGGACAAACTAAACACCTTTTGAGTTTTTATGACAACCGAAGCTACCACAGGTTCTTTTTCATGTTTGGAAGGAGAGGGTGAGGTGAGGGGTGTTCAGCTGCAACATGCAACTCCAACACTACATATCACAAAATTCTACACACTGTACCTTTAAGGGACATTCATAGAACATTCATTCAACATTTAATACTGATTGTACTGTGTGTTTTTTCTCTCTTATATTTTACTCATCATGGTAATGAGAGAATATCTTTAAAAATACTACATAACATACAATCAGTTATTGTTTTTGTTTACTGTTTTAGAAAACACACAAAGATTCACTCATCTTAAAACATTCAAACATTTTATTCATGTTTTTGAAAACATTTTCAAGCATTCATCTGTCCTTCCTGATTTGTTTTTACTTACATCCAACTTCATTGTGATTGCAATTTGCAATGTTTAGTACTTGCATTAGGACAAAATGGAAATCTATTTTGGACAATAAACTTTTATAAGGCATAATTTGTATCTACATACCTAATGCTAAATACATAACTGCACAAACAAACCCCCATTATTGTGTTACATTTTACTGTGGTTCAAATTAACTGCACTTGTTGTTCAATAAAATAACAGGATCAATCATCTCCAGAAGTAACTTAAATGCCAAATTTTGGTCAAATTTAATTCCAACAATAAAATACCTGAAAGGTCAAACTTGGAAAAAATTTGTAACTTTTCTCAGTCATCATCTTCATCCTCTTCATCAGTGTCCTCCAACTCCTCCTGGGCAGCTTGCTGCTCTTCCAAAGCTTCTCTCAGCACCTGTTCCTCCTCCAGTGATGGGTCCAGTGCCTCTGTGATTTCTGGATCGCTGGGATATTCTCTCTGCGGTTGTGGTGGGACAAGTGGGCTGTACCCTTCCCCTGCATACTTCAGACCCCATCCAACATATATGTTCTCAAACTTCCTAAATTAAGAGACAGCACATGGTTGTTTGTAAATAACAATATTGCTTTCAGTATACTGAGAGAAATCAGATTCAGGAAGTCAGAATATCCACATTTTTTCACTTACTTTGCACAAGCATACGCAAACGCCCCCGGCCAGAGATTAGAACGCAGCACAGCTATTGCATGCTGAGGGGTGAGAGTGGAGGACATCCTGGAGGTCCAGGGAGGGGTGTTGAACATTTCTGAGACAAGATAAAGTTGGTGTTAGGGTCATTGTTGCAAACATAAATTTATGATATTTACATGTTTTGCTCTGCATGATAATCTTCACAAGTAGTCCCCCATGAAAAGGGGATTTACCAGGTATTTACTGATGTATTTTATGTCCTAGAATTACGACATTAACATGTCTTGAGCTTGTGTTAACCACAGACCTTATTTCAGGCATCTTAACAACAACCTTTGACTTTAGAGGGAGGGAACGGGAAGTGCAAAAATGCAGAAAACATAAATACGTGTTCACATAATGTTCCTCACAAGAAAATTTCCTGAGGTTGGGTGAGAATATGGCACAACAGGCAATGTGACAGTCTAAGCCTGAATAAATCCAGTTCATTTCACTCACAGGGTTGAAAATGTGTCAGAGATGTGCATTGATATTTTACAATTAAAACACCTTTCACATCATGTAACAGTTTCAAACAGCCAATCGGCTCTATTTGGCTGCATGAAGAGAACAGAGCAGGGGTTAGTGGCCTGCAGTGTATTGTAATGATTTTTAGAGGAACAAAAGGCACTTATTTTGATTGGGCAGTAACACTGTGCTCTTTTTATGTTAATAGGCTGAACATTTGTCGATAATTGCATGTTGCCTGAGATCACCATAACAACCTTATCTATGATTCATGTTTAATTCTGCAATTTTCATGATCAGAACACAATTTATACTCTCTTGACCTCTCCCTCTTGGTCCTGCCCGGTGGACAATCAGAGGACACTTCACAGAGGGGGGGTAGGGATTTGCAATGTATTTTCAAGTATTTAAAAATGAAGCCCCTCCTAGTTTGGCAGAACAATGTTCAAAGACAAAACTGACCTTCATCTTTGGAAAGGGGAGTGAGCAGAGGGGGCCCAACTTCTGGCTCAGGTTCATCAGGCTCCTCTTCTGTCTCCTCAGCCTCTCCTTCCTCATTCAAGTCCTCTGGGTTCACAGCCATGTTCATCCAAGTACAACGGCCCTAACACAGTTCACATTCACATGTTAAATAAGCATACACATACAACAGCTGAGAGAATGGTACTTTTTCCAGAACTTGCTTTGATCAGACTTGTACCTGCGGCAGGATGTGCTGGACATGATGCACCCAGGTGGACAGAGACTCGGCCATTTCAGCAACTGGAACGCCTTCAAAATCAGAATTCACTTCATAGCTGTCTCGTGGTGCCTCATCTTCCTCATCACCTTCTTCCTCCCCAGTCTGGAAGAAGCCCTGGGGGCTGACCTGTGTGCCAGCAGAGATCCGAGCAATCTGTGCTCTCAGGTAGTTGGCTTCATTCCCAGGAAAAGGCGGGTAGCTGTTAACCGGTGCATCAAGCTTCCCTGTGAAGAATTTACGGATCTGGCGAGCAACAGTGATCTGCGCAGGACTGACTGAAGGCAGCTTTACCCAAGGAAGACCAGGCTCTTTACACACATAGTAAACAAACTTGTTAGCGCCTGTTCCTATGGGCTCCTTTGGAACCACTGGTGGAGGTTTATACGTCGACTGAGGAAGAAGATCTATCTGAAAATAAAACAATCGAAAGACCAGAGAGATTCATATCATTTCTTTATCTTTTTGTGGAAATCTGTGTAAAGACGTAAAGCAGAAAACATACTGTATGAGTAAAACTCAAAATTCCCACACTGTGTGATGCTTGGGTAAGTGTGAAGTTTAACCCTCTCTTTACACCTGATTCTGATTGGACAATGACATTCTAGCAATAATAATTTAGGTCAGACAACAGAAAGGCGTCTGACTAAAATATGAACAAATATATATTCCATGTACTCGTCCTCTCTGCACCAGAGACAGATACTCTCAGAGAATTCATGAGGATTTTCTGTCACATTGATTGGCTACGTTCCAATTCCTCACCTCATTCTCGTCACTCTCCTGAGTCTCTGCCTCTCTCTCCTCTTCCTCAGCTGCTTCGTCAGAGATCTGCTCTTCCTCCTCCTCCCTCTCTCTGCACTCAGCTTCAGCAACAATATAGTTACACTCTATTCCCAGAATCTTTCCCCATAGTCGGCAGCGCAGGAGCTCCTGCGACTCAACAAGCTGCTTGAGCGCGAGAAACACCCTCTGCATCTCCTCTCTGCCCAGACCCACTCCAGCCTGCTCCATGTAGAAGCCGATCTCATTCACATTAGGAAGAGGTGTTTCCTCCTGGTGAAGACAAATAACCACTGTCAATATATATCCATATATATATCAGTTACATTTCCAAAATATTAT